AGTCAATAGTGCCATAAACAATTAGTTGTTTGCCATCTGCAGTACATACAGATATGGTGTGCTTCCGCAGATTGTTTGCTTACAAATGTGTTCGCCTAAGGCAAAACCTAGGCACGAAACTTGAGCACCACTATCTAAAAGGCCTAGATGTTCCGCCCCTAAAATTTCGATGTTGGCATATGGCCCCAAATCAAAAGATTTGTATTCAATGGCACATACAAATGTGTTTACTGCTTTACGAGATTTGTTTACGTTTTTCCAAAATTCTTTAATTAGCGTGACTGAAAGAGTTGGACAAGCTGAAGGTTTATTATCATTACCAAAAATCTGTATTTTAACTTCCTTATATTTTGCTAAACGGACTTCATACGGAACGATTTCATTTACAAACGGTCTGCTGTTAAAAGGGTAGTCAGTGCCAATGAGGGGAGTAGCGCATTTGGTTTGCTCCGAAGCGTGAGGACGTAGGATCAGCTGTTTCAAAATTTTTTATTCGGGTCATTGCAAGGGTTCTGCTGAACAACCTCGCTCGCTCTCGAGTTTCCCGGATCGCAGGTCGGACATTTCGGGCGATACACTTTAGGGGTACCACATCCATAGCAGAAAACTGATCGGTCTTCCAGGCAATCGAAATATCGGTGTCCTTCGGCCTTGCAGTTCCAGCAAACTAGTTTTGTTCTAGCTGGGCTCTTACTTATTTCACCAACCTCGCATTCTTCCTGAAAGTAATCTTCGCTATCTACTTCGTTTACATAACGTCTTGGCTGCTGTCGAGGAATCGTTGGTGACGGGTTTTAAGATTTCGTAATTTCGTTTGCCAGACTTTCTCCCTTAAGGCAAAGTCTTCGCAACTCTGCTAAAGAAGTAATGTGCACGTTCAACAATTGTCGTACACGAGGTCGCAAGTTGTGTTGCAATATTTCTAGTAACTCGCTCTCAGGCAAAGGCGATCGCAATGCTTCAGCTATTTTAAGAACCGAGTTTCGATAATCATCAAAGCTCTCGGTTGGGCCCTGTTTCCTACTTCGAATCATTTCTTTAATTTCGAAATCGCTTTTGTGCAGCTGAAAATTA